TTGCTACTTTATGTCGATGACATGTTAGTAGCGGGATCAGATATGAAAGACATCAGAAAATTAAAGATGCAGTTGTCAAAAGAATTTGACATGAAGGACTTAGGCCCAGCAAAGAAGATTCTTGGAATGGAAATCACGAGAGATAAGCAAAAGGGAGTTTTGCAGTTATCTCAAGCAGAGTACATCAACCGTGTCTTGCAGAGATTTAATATGGACAAGGCCAAACCAGTCAGTACACCTTTGGCCAGCCATTTTCGTCTATCCAAGGATCAGTCTCCTCAAACAAAGGAAGAAGAAGAGTTCATGGCTAAGATTCCTTATGCTTCATCCATTGGAAGTTTAATGTACGCGATGGTCTGTACGAGGCCAGACATTGGCCATGCAGTGGGAGTTGTTAGCAGGTTTATGTCAAATCCAGGAAAAGCTCATTGGGAAGCAGTCAAATGTTTGAGATATCTATGGCGCACAACAGAAAAATGTCTGTATTTTAGAAAAGGAGATCTAAAGTTACAGGGCTACGTAGATGCAGACTTTGGAGGTGAAGTTGATCACCGGAGAAGCACCACCGGTTATGTTTTCACTGTCGGGGTTACAGCTGTTAGTTGGATGTCGCGGATACAAAATATTGTTGCTCTATCCACTACAGAGGCTGAGTATGTAGCAGTGACAGAAGCCAGTAAAGAATTAATATGGCTTCAAGGATTATTAGTAGAGTTGGGTTTCACTCAAAAAGAGAGTGTCTTGCACAGTGACAGTCAGAGTGCAATACATCTGGCAAAGAACTCAGTGTTTCACTCCAGAACTAAGCACATTGACATACGATATCATTTCATCAGATCTCTTCTTGAGGATGAAGTGTTGATCTTAAAGAAGATTGTAGGAAGCAAGAACCCAGCAGATATGCTAACGAAGGTGGTGACCATTGACAAACTGAAGTTGTGCTCAACTTCAGTTGGCCTGCTAGAATAACATACCAAAGAAGACTACTGCAGAAATTGAGGTGTGAGGACAAATTGAAATCAATCCTCAAGTGGGAGATTGTTGAGTCAATAATGGCTGCGGCCAGCACAAGAAGAAAAGGGAAAACAATGGACAGCAGCCCACACATTCTTAAAAAATTGTAGCAGCAGCCGGTTGTTTTCGGTTGAAAAAGGAAGCATCCTTATGTTGAAAAAAGCTGTACACTTCCTCTCTATAAATAGAGGAGATTCTGATGCACTTAAAAAACACACCAAAACACAAAAGAAAAACACAAGAGAAAGAAAAAAAAAAAAAAAAAAAAAAAAAAAAAAAAAAAGAAGTGATCGGAAGCAGATAAATTTTTAGCTTCTGTGTGTATTTGTGTTGTGGGTTGTGAGTGAGTCTGAAAGTGTTTTTGTAAACACGAGTGTATTTCTTTTTCCTAATAAAATATCTGCAGTAGTCCGGAGACGTAGGCATTATTGGCCGAACTCCGTTATCAATTTGGTGTGTCCAATTTTTAATTTTTATTTCACTTTTATAGATCCGACTTCATGGAAAATTTAGCGTATTTTTCCCAACAATTTAGGCATATGAAAATAATCTTATCCCACATTGATATTATTTGAACGTTTATTGATTTAATTGATAACACTTTATGGCGAGAATAAATTCAATTAAGTTTTGGTATATTGGAAAATAGAATGATTTTCATATTTTGATTAATTAGTATTCAAAATATATATAATTGGAATAATTTTGAGATAAGTAAAAGATGGAATGATTTTGATATTTTCTTACCCGTCCATTCTATTTTTTACTCGTGCATTGCACGGGATTCGTACTAGTAGTATAAAATAGTAGTGTGTTAATTCTTTTTAGATGCCGTATAAATAATTAAGTTTTTTTTATAAAATTTATTTGTCAACCACATAAAAAGCTTGTACACAAACTTCACATATGATTACTAGTTTATATATATATATACAAATAAAAGCAGCTACACTGTTGAAAAAATTTGTAAAAATGATGGATTAGGATAACGAATAACATTAAAAACTTTTGAATCTTGCAATTTTAGTTTTCTACGTTTGTGTTTAAGGGATCCTATTTTTTGAATTATGCTCTTATCACTTGCAATATTGTCTAAACTGTAACGATTTTGAATTCCCTACTGTTCAAATCCTATTGAGAAAATTGCACACTCTACAATATATATTAGTTTTAATTACATAAATAAAATCCCATTACAAATATTAGCAAATATACAAGATCTCACCTTTATAATTGCAAAATTACCAAATAATTAAGTCACCGTAATTAAAGGTGACTTATCACCTTCCAAATTTAATGAGATTCATTTTTCATCTCACGCAATCTCTCTCTTTCTCTCTTCTTTTCTTCTTCTTCTTCTTCTTTCAGTACACTTCTTCTTCTTACCAATGCTATGCGTCGCCGGAAAAGATTAACATCGGGCTCAAACCCACAATTTCGACTCAAGTTACAGGCCCAACTATACATGTGGCTAAATAAATTTTCTCTTCAACTCCAAGACATAAGAAACCTATTTCAATTCCTGCGTTCTAACTATCTTGAAGCGATCAACCCCAAAATACCATGAAGGCTCTCAATCAGGTGCTTCCTTTATTAATTTCATAATTTAATCGCTCAATTTTCGACACGAATGATTTTTCGTTTTTCGTTAACAACAAATGAGATTTTTCATTTTAATTTTTCCGAATTTTATCTCATCAGGACGTGGCATCTGGTTTGGCTTCATTATTATTGTGCATTGATTATTATCGTTCGAGATGTATTATGAGGATCAATTAGCTGAGATAGACGCAGGCTGCAGGGATCGTGTCGTGGTGGTGGTCTGTGGTGGTGGTCGGGTCATTGTGGCTGACAGTCGGAGGCCGCGGGGATCGTGTCGTGGTGGCTATGACGGTCGTTGGATATGATTTTTGGCCGAACGTGGCCGAATATTTTTTTTGTATATCTTCTGTATATATTCTGTATATAATGACAACATTGATTTATCTTCTCAATATCTGTTGTGTATTTTCTCTTATGTCGACCATATACAATGAGTATATCTTCTGTATATGTTCCCAACAAATATACTGTTTTTGAGTATATGTTAAGGTTGACAGTATATTTTTAGTATATGTACATGAGTACGATTTTAACTTGTTTTATATACTGGTAATACACAAAATTTTATCTGATTGCCGTTAGCAATTTGTTTTTTTTTGTTGTTTTGGTATAATAGAAGATTATTGCAACATATACTGAATATATACTAACTATAAACGCATTATAGTTTAATGTATACATATACTGAATATAACGTTTAATATACACTATTAACATGATGAGATTTAAAAATTAAACAAAAAACTGTCGAAATATACGCGTGTTGGGCGAAATAGGTTTTCAATATCATGGGATTTGTGTATAAAAAGTCATTTATAATTCAAATTCATAATCTTTCATATTTGTATTGAACAAAATCCTAATTAATAGGAGAGATTGACTTATCATGTGTATATATGCAAGGAGAGAGAGAGGCATTGGATGTGGCCTCCACAAATCAAGGAGCCGTTCACATTTCAGTTTGGCAACTGAATCTTAGCATTTTTTCAATTAATTGCCATGTAGTTGGTACAAATGCAATAAAATATTTGTCCATGATATATTTACAATTATTTCCAAACCGTTAAGTAAAGATAAAATTTTCCCAATCCTATTCTCTTCGTCTCTAAGAGTGTGTTTAGCTAGCAAGCATTATAAACTAGTTTATAGCTTAATGGGGAGTTTATAAGCTTTCTGTATATAAATAAGCTTGTTTTGGTAGAACGAGTTTTTTTTTTAAAAAAAGTTCGAGATTAGTATTTGGGTAGCCTTTCAAATAAGCCCGTTGATTTTTTTTTGATCTAGTAGTTGAAATTATTATTCAACTACTTATCACCTAATTTTACCAAACACTTTTATAATATCAGCTAGCTTTTCAACCATAAGCTCTTATATATAAGCTCGAAATGCTCTTATAATATCAACTGTCTTATCAACTAGTTTTACCAAACATAGCCTAAGACTAATCTTTGAGGTCTAAAAAATACAGAGTGAAGAAAACAGAAAAATAAAATTGAGTGAACTTAGTTTTTTCGCTTTTTCGATTTTATGTGAATATGATTTTCTTCTTTGAGAGTGATCCCGAGACTTATTTTTCTTCTTTGTGAGTGAATCGGATGCCTGAAACCTAGGTTATTAGATTCTTTGTGAGTGAACCTAGTTTATCCCTAATTGTTAGTAGGGTTTGAGAATTCGACGGGTAACATATAAGCTTTGTGCGAAGGGGTTGTGCGCTATAGGAAATAGACGTGCCGGTGAATGTGTGGTTGGTCAGAAGCTAGTATCTAATTGACAATCTTGTGAGTATAATTATACAGGGTCGGAGCGTGAAATTCCCTCAACAAGTTTCTCCCAATTCCGTCCTAATCACAGTGATCTCGTTCCTTTCCTCATATATTATTTTTTTTTTTGTTCGTTTCCCTTTGCCGCAACAATACTCGTTTGTTTGATCTTTTGTTTTTTGGACTCGTTTTGTCTATATTCAGGCTTGATTCTCGTTGTTCGGACTCATGTCAGGTGTTGTCAAGGATCGCTCGGTAGCTATCCACGCTTGTTTAGGTGCTTTCTTAGTGTTGTTCATTCTCTTTCGGGCTAGGTATTGAACTCTGGAAAAGTGTCGTCATCTCAAACAGGGAGTTCAACGTGCGGATATCTTGTTGCGACATATCAAACCATATTATGGGTAGAATTGCAGCATATCTTATTGGAAATGTTTTACTGCATAAGTGTAATTTCTTTGGATCAAGCACTAGCAGCTAGCACACCATACCCAATTACCGAGAGATGCAAGTAATTAGAATCATTATTTTCTCATCACAAGAAACAGCCTAAAATGTCAGCAGCTTTCGATGTGTGAACGTGGAGTTAATACAAACAAATTAACCATTTGTACATTAACTTTTTTTTTTTTTTTGTTTGTTTGTTTGTTTAGGATGAAAACCAAAATAAGTAATTGGGTCAAAACATAGGACAATTATCCACAATGACACACTTGGCAGTGGGACACGTGGCCAGGTCACAGTGCTCCAAGTCGTCATTCCCCCACCACGACAAGTTCCGCTTCTCAATCCCCACAATGAAATACAAAACCACCGCCATGAAAGCCACGCCCGCATCCAAATCCGCCGACAGTACGTAATTGTACCTCTGCCACCACCTTTTCCTGTACCTGAACACAAAGAAAGTGAACACCGTCCATAATATTATCAGTACAATCAAACAATCCAAATAAATTATCCTCACACATTACATCAACTTTTACTAGTTATTCATCCATTTATATAATTTTAATTATCGATCACTTTTAGTATCACTCATCTCATGCTTTAAAATCAAATCAACTTTAGTCATTTTATTTCAAGTATTGTTTAATACAAACTCAAAATCTCACTCAAACCTAACTCAACTAACTTTTTCAAAATTAACTCTGCTTAACCAAAAATTCCAATCAAAACACAAATTCATTTATATCCAAGCAGCCCCTAAATGATCACAAGTATTGATAGGAAAATCAACAAAGTGTTGCGTGTACCTGAACAAGGAACATTGATCTATGAGGAATTTTCATGTAATGACCAAGCTTGAAAAATCACTAAGAAAAGCAATTGCTTGAGACATGCTCATGTAGCCGTACACCTTGAAGCAGACGTTCGCAATCGGCCTCCCGGGATATATTATCCCCATAAGGTACTCTGTGCTTATATTCAGGCCCGGGGTCTATACAAGAATACAAATTTTAATTAATATTATCAAATCTTCTTCTTGCGTGTTTTTCAGATGGACCTTTGCTTGATGAAAAAGACGTGTATGTAAAGTACCTGATTCGTAGTTGCGGTAATAATGCTGACAGGAAGAGTGAACGAGAAAGCGAGCAAAGCCACGGGCAAAAGGGCCCAAAACGGCATCTGAATAACCTTTTTCAAGAAAACGCAGACGGCAAGCAAGACCATAACTGTCAAAGCAAGAAGAATGTAAAACTACCAACAAGGTATATCTTTGTACTTCTTCATGAGTTCGGTGTGAATATCACTCTTGCCCTTTGAAGATGCCCTGTATGATATCTCCCTGCAAATTCAATTCAATAATAAGTACAAAAGAATGTATTTGCAAAATATAAATAAATAAATAAATAAAAGAATTACCTTCCGTAAAACAAAACATGTGTCACGGTAGATGCAATCGTAGCAAAGCAAACCCATATGTAAGAGAAAAAAATGTGCTCAAATCAATCCTCCCGAGCTCTCGATCAACATCCAGCTCAAATCTACAGTCCACGATGGCCGATATATTATATTCTTGACCATCAGCAGTAAAGGCGAGTATATGGGGAAGTTCTTGGCATTGTCCACGTTCAAGCCCCAATAAGAAACGGGTATCACAATGTACATTATCACGAAATATCTCACGAAAACATTGGCGATGGCAAAAAAGTGGGAGATGAGTGGGCTGAAGACGAAGTAGTATTATGAACAAAAGTACAACAAAAAGTTCAGTTACAATTCAAGCTCAAACTGCAAGTATTACGGATTGATGCTGCTGGATACGGGGTCCTTTGATCTCCTCCGCTTACAAACCCACCCCTTGAGCTCTCTTGTTAAGAACACCTTCATCTTTGAAAAAACCCTGAATTTGAATGATTTCATTTGTGTCCCCAACATTCAATGTCTTCAGCTTTAGATCATATGGAATCTGTCCGGACAGCGTGCTCGATTAGATTGATTGGACCAATGGGATTTTCTGCATTGCTGCACTATCAGCATACCAAATTTATATACTTGTTGCAATTATTTTGCAATATAACAGAGATTCAATATGTTATGAGAAACAACCTATAAGCAGACGCGTAATCGTGACAGTCCGTCACAAATAGCAGCAGAGTGAGTCCATGTCGGGTATACTGTTTGAACAACTACAAAATAGTGCTTATGGAAGTTCGGTTCACCAAATCCTGAATATAAGTTATACTATAACAATTCGTTGTTGTATGCAGATACTGTTGAAATAAAAGAATAAAATAAAAATTCAAATTTTAACACAGCTAAGTCTTATATAATATTAAAGATTGCAACTATCATATGAAAATGGAATAAAAATAATATATGGTGCTCACTGAAGGGGAAAAATGAAGCATGTCAAAGTTACTAATTTTCATGAATGATTAGAATGTCAGTTTATGTGGATTTACACCAGTTGAAACTGTCATTTTCAGCACATTCGGAGCGTTGAAAGCAGCGGGATCAATTGACATCCCACGTGACCAACCTTCACACATCAGTTGGTCACATTCTGTCAATGTGACCAACTGATGTGTGAAGGTTGGTCACGTGGGATGTCAATTGATCCCCGCGGCTTTCAACGCTCCGAATGTGCTGAAAATGATAGTTTCACCTAGTGCAAATCTACAAAAACTAACATTTCAATAATTTATGGAAGTAACTTCATTTTTCCCTTTAGTGAGCAGCATCTATTAACATTTTCATATGATAGTTGCAATCTTTTATATTATGTAAGACTTACCTGTGTTAAAATTTAAATTTTATTTTTTCCTTTTATTTCAACAGTATCTGCATACAGCGAACTGTTAGTCTTATATTCAGAATTTGGCCGAATTTAGTGAACCGAACTTCTATAAGTGTTTCGTACTTGTTCAAACAGTATATCCGACACGGACTCACTCTACTGCTATCTGTGGCGGATTGTCACGATTACGAGTACTGCTTATATGGTGAGCTTGTTTCTGGTAACGTATTGAAACTCGATGTTATATTGCAAAATAATTGCTATAGGTAATTAAATTTTGTATGGTGATAATGCAGCACTGTAGAAAATCCCATTGTTCCAATCGATCCAATTGAGCATGTTGTTCGGGCAGATTCCATATGATCTAAAGCTCAAGACGTTGAATGTTGGAGGCACAATGAAATCATTCAAATTGAGGGCTTTTTCAAAGATGGGGTATTCTTAACAAGAGAGCTTTTTAGGGTGGGGTTTGCAAACGAAGGAGATCAAAGGGCCCAGCAGCATAAATCCGTAATACTAGCAATTTGACCTTGTAACTGAACTTTTTGTCCTACTTTTGTTCATAATACTATTCTGCATGGTGATACTTTTGAGTTTGATTGAATGATTGAACATATACTGGCACTTTGAGCTTGATCTCCCCATGAAAAAAATTGTAACTCGAACTTGTTGTCGCACTTCTGTTCATAATACTACTTTGATCTTGCTCTAAGTAGCCGACTGTTATATTCTGTTTGGGTTGCTAGTGTTGGAATTCTTTCGGTGAAATCCGAAATCTTTCGGTGAAATCCGAAGTTCTCTGTAGCTAATCTTGTCGTTAATTCATTCTCTTCATCTTCATCTTGGCTTGTAATTTAACATTTTTTATCTTTAGGTGAAATTCGAATGATCAACATCAAATATGAAGTTGCTTAAATTCTCTAAATTTTTCGCTCAAGCAGATATATTTGCCTTCAAAATACAGTTTCATCATATCGATCTAAAAAGATTATGTTTTCTAACGAAACTTAGAAATGTTAAAAGGATAACACATTTATCTACATTTTTTTACATTCATTTCAATACCTATTTGATAATACTCAACTAGTGTGTATCCCGTGCGCTGCACGGAGGGATTTTTACTTAAAACCTTTTCTAAGACTTTATATTAAACATAGTTATTTATGTTTAACATCTTATTATTATAAAAAAAGAAATACCAAATATGAAAAATTATATATTATTTATTTGAATATAATGAGTGTCCCCAACCAAACTAATAACATCCAACATATGATATATGATAAAATTAATTATATGATCGTCATACTTTTTGAAAAAATATACATATATTTCTAATAAACATGTAAGATCCGCATTTAAATTTGTATTTGGATATGAGATGAAAAATGAATATGTACAAATAAAAAGTACCAAGAACCTACATAAAATGAGATTCTTTATAAACTTTAAAATATTTTGTAGTTAAGCAAATATTAACAAACAAAATCATCAATTAAGTTGAACTTATCGAATATAAAATATAATTTATGATATCATTGACCATATTTACCCGTTGTATTTAAAGTTATCATTGACCATATTTTTATGAATTAAGGTTTACAAAATATCTTTTTCAAAATAACATTTTTTTTTAATTTGAATTTGACTTTTTCATCCAACCGCCATTTTCCACAAAAATAAAAATAGTATTTTGGAAAATTTTAGACGTGAAAATCAAATAAAATTAATTTAATAGTAATCGATTAATTTAATATTATTCAAAATTGTTTAATTCGGTCAACCCGATCTTAGTGCACGTTTAATTGAAACAATCGCTTAAAAAAAAAAAGGTAATCGCTTACAAAAAAAGGAAGTGAAATCTATCTATATAATATAAATCGGATTTTAAAAAAAAAAAGGAAATGAAATTTCATAATTAATTAATTTAAATTGATGTTATCCGATTTATATCAACTCCCTTCCAAAAAAAAAGGAAATATCCGATTCCTACCAAATCGATTAAAAAAAAAAAAGGATTATGATATACGTCCAAATAAATTACAATTGAAATGTAGGCGGGATTATTAAAAAAAAAAATAAAAAAACTTTACCGAATAAAGTAATAAAACGAAAAAAAAAGCGGGAATATGAAGCGGGAAAATAAGATAATTTTTTTTGAGTTTTTTGAACAATTTTTCTTAGTCGTAATAATAGTAATAGATTTCCAAAATGTTACCACACATTTTTTTCTATTTTTCTTGTTTTTATTAAATTTTATTTACATAAGATATACATTGGTTAATTTTAAATTGAATCTAAAAGTCAACTCCTCACACTTTTCGAAAAATGTTACCACACAAATTTTTTTTTCTTATTATGTTTTATTTACATAAGATATACATTAGTGGTTAATTTCAAATTAAATCTAAAATTCAACTCCTCACATTCTTGAATTTGAATTTTTAAATAAGGAAATGTGTTTCCATATTTTTTGGTAGTTAGAATATGTTGGATTCATTTATCTATAACTAATCATACACGTATTCAAAATTTGAACCCAAACAAAATTCTTTGAATTTTTTGCTAACAAAATCACCTTCCCATAATTTATTTATTTCGAAAAATGTTACCACACAATCTTTTTAATTTTGTTTTTCTATTAAATTTTATTTACATAAAATATACATTTGTTAATATTAAATTGAATTTAAAATTCAACTCATCACAAATTTGTATATATATATATATATATATATATACATATAGAGAGAGAGAGAGAGAGAGGGGATTCTCTTTTTTTTTACATATTTAAAAAAAATCTAATCAAATTTTGAATCCCGAATTAAAATCGAATTGTAATGTGAACTGAAAAGATTTGAAATCTAATCATGTTGTAGATAAGGGAAATTCATGGCAAAAAAAGGGGATGAAAAAAATTCAAATTAAATTTAAGGGGGGAAAACAATTTTTTAAGCGGGAATTTGAAATATTTTTTCAAACATTTTTTCTTCTCCGTATTATATAGTAATAGATTTGGTTTAATAAATAAATTTAAATTTTAGGTATGAAGATAATGAAATTAGTTTTATATTATATATATAATATGAATGTCAAATTAAAAATCATTAAAAAATGATTAATTTGATATATATCACATATGAAAAATGAAATACACATAATTTCTTTTTTCTTTTAATTTTTAATAAGAAGATTACATATTTATATTAATTACTAAATATATTAGATAAGAAAATAAAAGGTAATATATAGTAACTTAAGAAAAGCAAATAACAAATAGTTTTATAGTAATTTCCAAGTCAGGTAAACCAAACATGCACATGTGTCAATACGAAACACAAATTTATAACAAATAAGCTTTCGAAGCATGCTACTCTACCATTTCGACTCAGCATGTGTCGTATTTTATCATTTTCAGTTGAATAATATAAAACGTGAAGACCATGTCTGTACAAAAGTGTTATTGATGAATATTATATTACAAAAAAGTGAAAATAGTTATTTTCACCCCACTATGAAATATAATAAGTTTTTTCATTCTAGCTGACAATTTAAAATTTTTTCAATGCAAAAAATTGTGCAATGAATAAATACATGATAGAATAAATACATGATAGTATGCGGTCCATTTGCATAACTATTCACACTTTCTGGGATGAAAAAGTTAAAGTGTGACAGTTATGTGTGGATATGAATATGCGACAACGATCTATTCGCATGACCCTTTGCATTTTATGGAGTAAAAAAATTAAATTGTCAGGGAACGTGTGAAAATTTAATATATATGAGTTAGAAAAGGATGTGCCCTTACAATGATTATATTTGTTTTTTAATACTATGAATGGGGTTGTAAAAATATATATATTATCATATAAATAAAATGTTCCATATTACATTTCAGTTATATAAATCTTAAAAATGCAGCAGAGTCGAGAAGTGCACTATTTAAGGTATTTAAAAATTGTCTTAAATGTAAACTGTATTGTTAAATAAATTAGAGTCAAATACATATATAATACATGTGGATGGATGTTAGAAACCAATACTCAAACTCGTTTTTGCTAAACAGTAATTTGTCTTCGAAAAACTCATTTTCAAACTCAAAAGATATTATTGGAGTATTCTCATGTACATTAACTTTTACACCTTTTCAATACTACTCATATATTTTACAACTTCACAAATTAAACCCCACTATTATTTTCAATTCGATTTGAAATTTATATAAAAAATTATAACCATAAAATATATAAAAGAAAGCACATTATCATAAAAGAAAAACATAGTAGTATATGTGTCAGTAATTTGTCTCAATATGTTAATTTTTATATCATGTCAATGTTATTCAATATTATAAAATTTTAAAGTATTTAAATATACATAAACTTTTTATTATTGACCCGATATAAATAATATGTTAAAAGAAAAAAACTTAAAAATATAAGGACTAGTTTGCAATTCACAAAAGATTTGCGTTCGTGCAAAAAAAAAAAAATTGGCGTTGGAGAAGAGAGAAAATACGGATAAATCCATTTTACATTTGACTATAGGAACGATTGGAGTACAAAATGAAAAATCTCATTTTTTTACGGTTTGCGTTTGGGTATGGGTATGGAGTTGATCTTAAGCTGAGACCATTTAT